GGAGGCAGTAATATCTATGAATGAATGAAATATTATTTATTGGCCATAAAATTACAGTTAAACTACAATAAAGTAACTTAGGTATAAAGATAGTAAGATGATGTGCAACAGGCGGCCTTATTGCTACGTAGCAATTTCTTCCAGGCCACCTTAGCTTATCTATCTATATCTATAATCTATCTGCAATATACTCTCTCAGGGATCACAATTATGGGATACCTTCTTTTGAGGTACTTATATGTTATGGATGTTGATGTAGAAGTAATGGCAAAATTTACCTTAACCCAAGACTTCATTGGCCGATTGGGACCGTTGATGCTATTAACAATAGAGGTCAATTTATGCCACAGCTTCTTGCTCTGGTCCCGGCCTTCCAGTCCTCGCAGCTGGCCCAGAGCTAGGGATGGGTGCTTCTCCATAAAATCCACTATTGCTACGACTTGTTCCAAACTTGGGCGTGACTGAAAATTAAAATTTATTTATTTTTACAATATAAAGCTAATAAAGTATTTTACTTTTATTGTTTTTTTTTTATACATTACGCATACTTATGTATGTACTGGTCACTTAAATAAATACGACATCCTTATGAAGTCAGTTATAATAAGTACCAATCTTTGTCTATTTTTGTTTTTTCCAATTCTTTATTACAGATAAAAACTTAAATAACCTAAACGGTATCTTTGCCAAAAACCGCATAAGCCGGGTTTAAGAAACCCGCCCATAAATACAATAAAAGTGATTTAGATGGGAATGTTATATGATCCCTACATATTAAACAAGAAGGCTGTAATTATCAATATCACACAAAATGCCTTTATCTCTAGGTTGTTTGAGATTATCAAACAACGCTCTTGCTTAGTAGAGGTAGAGAAGCCACAAAAAACTCGTTGGATATCGGAGTTATTACACTCGAGTCTTGAAAGACTTCGAGAACTTTAAGAATATTTAGAATTATAAAGAATATTAATGTTATATACTTACTGCAATAGTCCGATCAGTCATTTTAAATAAGCGAAAGTACACAATGAATGTAACGAAATTAACCAAGAACCAATATTATTCTTTTCATACAGGAAATACTAGTAAAACTTTATTTTGATGAACTCATTTCGAAGTCCCAAAATTGATTCGAATCCACTTCGAGGCGAGAACATATTTTTCTTTCAGAAAAATGGTCGATACTGCCCAAATGACAACCATTGGTTGGGGCATTAATTCAGTGTTACCATTTTGGATAGAAATTTAGTTTAATTCGTATTTTGAGAAAAATCAGTCGATTATAAATTATTCACGCCTTATCATACTAGGGTAGGCTCTTAAAATCATTCATTCACGTGTACCGGAAGTAACTTTGTCTCTTTTTATCTTGTGTATCATAACATACAACAACATCTTCTCTCTCGTAATTATAATATGGGAGAAATGTCAAATTGACAAATGAAAAAAGCTGAAGTCTCCGCTGTTTCGGCTTGTTTTGGGAGTTCGTGACTATGCTGCATAATATTTTGAAACTTTAACTATAATGTGCAGTGAAAAAAAATAAAATACACAATGTCGAATTCAGTGAGCATATCAATCGAAGCTCCGATAGAGAATCAAATTCAAGAAATAACCTACGATGGCCAAGAGATATATCAAGCGTAAGTCCAAAAACATTATCTTTAAAAAATAGAATAAATATTGTTCCATTTGCATTGAATTTTTGTCTAAGATTAACTTATACTTTCAGGCCTCTGTCTATGTCAGAAAATCTAACTCGGTTAGCGCAAAAGATAGATTTTTCGAAGACTGAAGATGACTACAGTATTGTCAAGAAAGAAGGTGAGAGCAGTTCAGAGACGAAATCTGAAGATGAAAATAAGGAACCTGGGTACCAATCGAGTCTGTGGCCTTGGGACTCGGTACGGAACAAGCTGAGAAATGCCCTGACTGAAGTGTCCGTGCTGGCGGATGTGATCACTATTGCAAAGGAGAAAAGGTACATGGTACGTACTGGATTTTACTTATAATAAAATATTTCTGTTATGTACCTTAATACTAAATTGTAATAGAAAGTACTGATGATCTGAGCATTGTTAAAATACTTGATAAGTTTAATAAACAATTATGTCCCAATTTTAAAATCAACTTGATAAGAAATCAACTTTATCATATTGAGTACAAGGTGCTGTTTCAATATGATTATTTACCAACAACAATTTGTCTAGAGATTGATTTATTATTTAGTTTCTTTTAGAAGTCTGCCCAAAAGTCAAACATTCACTATTTTCATATACATAGCAGTTCGCGCTCACATGTCCTTTTTATCTATACTGTATCAACTCACTACCATACCTGCTACCATATATGGTCTCTTTGTTATTGCAAATTTTAACACACACAATACAACATCAAGTAAATAAAGTCGCAAATGGGGATTTTATTTATTTAAATCTTTTTTACAAATTTTTCAGGTCCTAGATCAAATACAAGCAGATCAAGTGGACAACCGTCCCATGGTTCAAGTCTATGGACGTAAAAAGGCTTTAGCGGCAGCATCAGCAGTCCTTCTAGCTGGTGTAGAACGTCTCCGTGCGAGTGAGACGATGCGCGTTACGCGGAACATGCCAGATTTTCATATAGATTTGTTGCGATTACGACAAAATTGGAGACTCAAAAAAGTCGGGAATACTATTGTAGGTGATTTGAGCTACCGTACTGCTGGATCTAAGTTCAGCCAGACTGGAGTTTTTGAGGTAAATAGTGTAATATTTTTCATATCAACATACATACATCCTGATTGCACATATATTAACTACACGAAATACATATTATTCTTACATGGTATTCTGGTTTGCAGGTAACGAAAGCTCCAGAGGATCAAATAGCTCAAGCTATGAGCTTAAACGCAACTGGCCCGACACCGTCCGCACTGCGTGTTACCGTGCCTCCCGAGCTCCAAGGCGTCGCTTTCATATCTGTACTTTGTCAAAAAGGTACATTTTTATGTTAAACAAACTCTTAATCTTCTAACAATCGAGTTTGAAGGAAAGTTACCACGACCTATAAACATTTTCCAAAAAGCGAAGTTTGTGACAAAATTCGCTAATTTCGTTATCCATTGCCTGTGATCACCATCACTAGTTCTCCCTACAACTTGATCCGGTACACGACAGTGCTACTTTGAAGCTGAAATAGACCTTGTGCTGTGGTACTATCTATGCCAGGCGCCTTATGCATGGATAACCTTAAAATGAGCAATCACGTAATAATAAAGTGAACCAGCATAGTAAACATTCTCCAGTATGTACTTTTGCTCACTGTACAAAACAGATACAATAATTAGTAGCAATAGAGCTCCTTGTGAAAGAGTTCATCCAGGGAAGTACTGCCAACTTACCTATTTCTACTGCCACAAGCAGTAATGAGAACATTAGTGAGTTCTGATTTGGGAGGGTAAGGGTGCTGGTGAAATTACAGGCACATGAGACTTGTCAACTTAAGTCTCAGGGTGACGGACGCAGTGGCAGTGCCCCTAAGATCTTTGCGATTTAAACATCTGAGTGGCACTGCAACTGTTATACATAGACGTGTCGCTTAGGCGCATGGCTTGTTCGTCCCGTCACTTAATATAATAATAACAAAATTAGGGTGCTATGGTCCAATCCATTGAAGTGCTCTTGGTGTACTCGTTGCCGAATAAGACATGGTAATAATCATTATGTGCAGAACGGCCTCTACCCATCTCCCCTCAAAAGACGCTTCTATCCTTCTTATTAAAAAACAATATATTTTAAACAACACATTAATTAATGTCTCGTCCGAATTGTTGTGTAAAGAATACTAAAGATTCCATCCATTCAAAAATAGCTCCATTCTACCATTTACCATCAATTCCTAGTGCTGGCAATAATCACCAACTTATTTTAAATAGCATAAGCTTTATTTTATTGCAGAACAAGAAGACGTAGTAACAGCCACCCTAAGTTCAGCTGCACTGAACTGCCCGGGCACACTACCAGGTGATGGGGCAGAGCTGCATTGGCAACAGAAACTCGAGGCGGCTCAAAATGTGCTATTTTGCAAAGAATTGTTCGCGAGGCTAGCCGCTGAAGCCGTGCAGTTAGACGCTTCCATACCGCATATGGTTGTTGGGAACCAAATTATGGCTACTGTAAGTGTATACAACAACCCTAACACATATTTTGATTATGGCATCGGATATTTTATGACGTTTACGTAATGGATGGTATCGAGAACTAATCATGATTGTTGTCTCATACCATAAAGGATCTAATTTATAAATGTGGTTACCCATTGTAAATATCAATTTGTCATTATTATATTGGGAAACTCATCCTGGACGAGCCACCAGTAGCTGTGGTGGTAGCTTAATGGTCTTTGACGTACCACCTCCGAAGCAGGGTCCGTGGGTTCGTACCCGGACTCGCGCCTCTGAGCTTCTCAGAATTTATATGCGAAATTTAATTTGAAATGTGCCATGAGCGTTTCGGTGAAGGAAAATGTCGTGATGAAACCTGCACGTCGAGGAAGGTTCACAATGCTCGGAAAACTTGTGAAGTTCCCAACCCGCATTGGGCTAGCGTGTGGAACTATGGCCTTAACCCTCGCCTACGAGGAGACCCACGCCCAGCATTGTGACGTTTAAATGGATTGATGTTGAGACTCATTTGAACCTGCTACAAACTAACAATTAATTTTGTGGCACTATGCAAAAATTGTACATTTTTTATATTAAGTAAATAAATAAATATTAATATACTTAGTACCATAATCTCTAATATGTTAAATACAAATAAATCAAGGTCTAATCGGCAAGTGCAATATGTTGGGAATAATAAAGAAATTTCGAAAATGTTGTCTTACCTACCGTCCACCACTTTGTAAAAAGATTCAAAATGGCGGTCATGCATACAACATACCTGAAATATCCATTTTCTATACAAACAAGTACTGGTATGTAACAAAATGTCCTGAAGCGTCAGGTTTCCAAGATTTCAAGAAATTAGCTGTCGACGTGGTGTAGGTGGAGCCACTAGTAAATAGTTTTAGAAATAAAAGAAAATGCGTTAATTTGTTTTAAATATTTCTTAAAAAATTCTATTATAGTAAGACGAAGTTTATTTATATATACCGAGAAGTCTATTATAAGAAGAAGCCGTACAAAAAGTAGTTAATACAGTATTTATATTATAAGGTAAAACAGCGAACATCAGGCTGTGTGAAGCATAGTAAACGTTATCATTTTGTACCTCTCGATTATAGGCGAAAATCACATTTGCTTCCTATTTCAAATAGTAAACTGTGAAATTGACTGCATGTTTGTAGTTAATGCATTGTCACAATCAACTCCATGCAGCAGTTAATCTGTTAGCAGCCTTATCCTTTAGGACTAACTAGCTGAGTCTCAGGCGTCGGTACTTAATATGTCCGAAGCGAGGACTAAATACAGACAAAATTAATTTTTTATCAGAGTGTTATCAATCGTCTTTGGACATAGATCTGTTCAATACCAATGTTAACTCGATTAGACGTTTGTTTACTAAACAATATTCTACTTAATTATACCGACGCTAGAAAGGTAAAACGTCTAAAGTGCATTTTGGAAAATATTACAGGAGTGTAATGAAAACAACTTTCATTCGTTTACAGGAAAACGTAACTTTATTTATCATCACAATTATTATTCACTCGTCACACTCAAGTAAACTCTAGTCTAAAACATGTGGTTTCAAAACGGGCCTGAACAACCGATTAGCTCCACTCTTACATTTATCGGAATTTAAACCGCCGTTATTTCTTAAAAAATACTTTAAATCGCTCTCCTGTAATATTTATTCTAATTCACGTTGAGACATTTTACTTTTCCAGTGTCGATATAATGTTTTTAATACGTAAAATAATATGTTGTTTATTTTAACGCACTCCTCATGGAAGAATGGCATAAGTGGAGTCACATCAAACATGTTTATTGCTCCATTAGATACAGAAAATTACAACCCACATCCTCTCCAATTCTTGTAACTCTATCTACAATATTAGTCGATAGAGTTACAAGAATTGGACAGGATGTGAGTTATATTTTTCTGTATCTGATGCTGCAATATACGTTTTTGACGTAACTCCACTTACGCACTTGTTCCATGAGGGGTGTGATTGAAGTTTCTGCTAACTGAAACCTTAAAAACCTATTTTTTTGTGCTACTTGTAGAGATTTGTAAAGGATATGTATATTTGCTGTAAATCTTCCTAATAATAAATAAATAATATAAACGGTCATACATGCAGCGTCAAGGATAGCCTGGGAGATAACAGTAATAAATAAAAGCGACATTGAATACGATAACATTTATGATTATGTTTTGATTAGCCTATTGATGAATACGATGCATGAATATTTTATAAAATCTTTATGCTAAATGATAGCTTCACTAACTATGTTTATGTTATTTCAGGTGTTACCAGGTATTCAGTTATTAATAGGACTTTGTCACAATAATGGACAAAATCAAAACACAAATCCAGATGGCACCAAGGTAAGGAAAATATTAATCAAGTACTTGAAACTGATCAATTGTTCCCATTCAAATATTCTGAAGCGCAGGCCACACCACGAACGAAGCTAACTTAGCTAGCTTAGCTCACGTAGTTACTTGCGAAGCTAAGCTATGAAAATACGTAGTTAGTATAGTCTCTCTTTTTTGAAGATGGAGTAAAATGACATTGGTAGTGTTGACAGTTTTCATAAAATTTTAAATAGTTATGTAGTCGTTGTCAATAGTTTTATCGATAGATTGTGAAACAAGATAGAATTCCAAAAACGACGGAATTATGAATGTTAGAATATGGTTATTTGCCTGAATACAGTATTTATATCTGTACATATCTTGGGTAAAATTAAGTACATTGTATTCAACCTGCACACAGGCGTGCCATTTATTGTATTAGAAACCTATTTGCGTTTCGAATTAATATCGTATTTGTATATCGAATTGGTATTTGTAACTTCTAAATATTGTTTATTAATTTAAAAGCACTATGTCAAAAGCCATTTTGTCAATTGTGATTTAAAAGTAGTCCTTTTAGTGATTTAAATTACATTAGATAAATTATTTTAAAAAATCTTATAAATATATTGAAGCAGTTATTTTTATAAACGAGGTTGTATCAATTTATTTTCATTATAAATAATCTTTATCGTATATACACAGATCACACATAACAAGTCAATTTCTTTTTAAATATGTTTAAGGGTAAGTCTGCGATCGCTGCAGGCAAAGCATTATATGTCTTTATGGAAATATTGCAATTCCTAGAAAAGCAAGTAGTTATGGAAGGGGCCAGACAAGCGGTTGGGATATCTAGTTAAAAAAATGTTATGACATTCTAATGAGTATTAATGTCGTTATTGCCTTCTTTATTTTGACGGTTGGCCCATTAGTATCGAGATCATTTTTTATTCACATACATTTTAACAAGAATAGGTGGATTTCATTTTATCTATGTTGAGTTAAAATTGAAAACTTTGAAACATATCTCCTGTTTGTATATTTCACAAACATAGTTCTAAATACTGTCTATGTATATGTAACTCACAAACTTTGTCAATTAAAATAATCTTGTGCTCAGTAATTGGATGAATATGAAAATGGTCTAGGATGATTCAAATGAAACAAGTTCGGCTATTTATTCCATAAAGTGATCAATATTCAGTTGATAGTCGATAGAATATTTTATCGACTGCCATCACTAGCTGCTCGTAAGCGGGCAACACTCTTGAGCAAAGAACTGTTATTTACTCCGTCTTCAAAAAAGAGACTATAGTGGCTGCGAACACGTACGGGGGTGACGGGCGGTAGAAGCCAAAGAATCGTTGGGTTAGTTAGCTTAAACGTGTGTCTTGTGTTGGATACAAGCAACTGGCAACTGAAGCGAATACTTTATTTTCATACAATTGATTTGAAATCGATACAGCCGCCGGTTGCGGCAATAACAATTTGTATGAAAATAGAATAATATTCGCTTTTTAGTTGCTGGTTGCTTGTATCCAACACAAGACATTTGCTTGGCACTTTAGTAAGCATAATTTAGTGTGAGATTGATGCCTAAACTAAGCACTAAGATGTCTTTGCCTCGGGCCACTAGATTTGCACCTCAGAAATACAAGTTAAATAAATATTTACACAAAGTGCTTTTAACACTACTAGAACACAAGAATAATATTGCTAACGGCCGCTTTCTATATTCAATCTCAATCTATAATTTGCTATCTAAGCTCGAATAATCAATCCAAATCCTATTTTTACTATTTCAATAACCGATCGATGGATCGTTATTCCGATCATTTGTTGGCATGGCATTTTAGATTGACATTTGTATGGCAGTGACAGTTGCGCGCTTTTAATAACCGATCCTTAAGTTTAACAAATCGGATTTTGAACGTGTTCGATCTTTAGTAGCGATCCTCCAATTTTGACCGATTGTACTGTGTAATAGTGTGAAAATGGAAGTAATTTCAAGTGATAGCGACTGTGATCTTGAACAATTTGCTCAGTTATCGGATTTTGATAATAGCGACAGCGACCAAGACCAACTTGTGTCTTCAAGAACGTTTAGGCGTATAAACTTCATGGCAAGTTTAACTGACGCTGAGTTTACATTCAGATTTAGGCTGAACAAAACATCTGTTGAATTTGTTTTAAATGAAATAATGCCATGTATCAAAATCAAATCAAAACGGTATGTAATTTATTATTACCTATCTATTATTTCCTAATCTTAATTCATAACCTAAACATTGACTGCTTAACTTGCTAATATTCTACGCTAAATAATGCTCAACTCATTATCATTTTCAGGAATAACGGCGTACCACCATTGCATGAACTTTTATTAACAATTAGATTTTACGCATTGGGAACTATGCTAAATTCAGTGGCTGATTTTGCTGGTGTGTCCTTGTCAACAGCATGTAGAATAGTATCAAACATATCTGCTGCTATTGCTAGATTGTATAGCAAATATATTGTGCTGCATACTAGGAGTACAGATAAATTTTACAATATAGCTCAATTTCCTAGAGTATGTGGTGCCATTGACTGTACTCATGTACGCATTCAATCTCCATGTAAGTATTCAATCCAATGATTTGTCATCAAATTAGAACATAAATTTTGAAGTGTGTCAGTAATTATTTTATCTTTGTACATACATTATGAATTACAATGCTTAGATAATTTTGTTTCAGGTTCAAAAATAGGGGAAGAATTCCGAAACAGAAAGGGATACTTTTCCCTTAATGTCCAAGCTGTTTGTGATGCAGACCTGAAATTACTAAATGTTGTTGCTCGGTAGCCTGGTTCGTCCCATGATGCAACAATTTTTAATAATTCTCATTTAAGAGGTAGTAACAAATCTAACTAAAACTGAAGCACTAGTAATGTGAGTTACTTATGTTAATATTAATTATTACTGCTTCGTGTGAAGATGGAATTTTAGGAAATCGGTGGTTACTTGGGGATGGTGCCTATCCAAACCGCCCATACTTACTCACACCCCTATTAAACACATCAACTAATCAAGAAATTAGATATAATGAGGCACACATAAAAACTAGAAATACAATTGAAAGGTAAAAAAAAGCACCCTGTATTATTATTTGATAGATTCAAGACATAATAGTAGTTTTTTATGAACAATTATTATGTATGTTTGTACAGGACTTTTGGTGTGTGAAAACGCTGCTTTCCAGTTATAGCATTGACTATGTGCTTATCATTAAGTAACATACAAAGCGTAATCATAGCCACAACAGTACTACACAACATCTGCAAAAATAATAACATTCAGCTAGTACCCCCTGAGGTGCAACTGTCAGAAGACGAAACAAGTTGTCAATGAAGCGACATCAGAAAATACTGTAGTACAAACTATTGATGACAGAAGCAGGCAAGAGCTCATTTTAAATTATTTTTAAGGAGTTGCTGTTATTAGTAGTTATTACTGTATAATATGAATATTATTATAATTTTAGTATTTAGGGTAGGTTGTATGTATAGGTATTATTCAATATAAATTTCATCCTTTCTACTTATAACTATTGTTTCATTTTAAATACAGTACCTTTACTAGTGTAGGTACAGTGAAGAGCACATGAAGCTTGACACTTTGGACCGTTCTTATTGCAAGCGGCATAGAGTTACATTTAAACCTTTAGGATCAAACTTGACGTGCTCTTGACCCTGTACTATGAAAAATATAAATAATTTGTAGAAAAAAGCAAAGTATCTTTCAATTCAAATATTTTTATTTATTTAGTATAAGGCACCGGAGACATTATAAAAATATAAATCAATTTCTGATAGTTTACAATAATAACAGGGTAGTGCGAATGTGACACAGGTATGCACATATAAAAATTATTAAGATGGTAACTAACAAATACTACTTAAAATACTCATCTTTGACAACTAAAAATGTTAACAAATATAGCTTATATCTATACAAAAAGGTCAACTTTGGATTTTGAGAATTAATTTTTTTTAAAAGGTAAAGTAAATATGACATTATTTTATATTGATATATAATGGCGATAATTCTTTGGCATTAATTCAAATATATTTCTTTATTTAGTATAACGCACCAATGACGCATTAAAAAATATAATTCAGTTAATGATAGTTTACAATAATAACATTACAGGATAGTGCAAATGTAGCACAGGTATGCTCATTTAAAAATTATTAAGTTGGTAATTAACAAATACTAATTAAAATATACATCTTTGACAACTAAAAATATTATTAATTTGAAAATGAAAATTTAAAAAATTCAAATCAATATGTGATTATTTCTACATTTTATATTGATATATAATGGCGTTAATTCTTTGGCATTGTGATGACAATTATTTCTATATTTGTTATTGATATATAATAGCGTTAATTCTTTGGTGTGTACGAAATCGCTTCTCAATCCACAGGTACAAACATTAAATGAAATCTTACAAACTCAAATCTCAAAAAGAAAGATTAGTTGAGTAATTTTCAGATTAGTTTTCTTTTCCTAATTTGGGTGGTATTTTTTATTATTTAAGTATTCAAATATATTATAGTGAAATATTAAATAATGTTTCAGGGTACTACACTCGAATATTACATATATTTTAGAATATTTCAGTAATAAAAATTGTCACCGAAATTAGACACAGAAAACTAACCAACTAACTGAATATTACTCATGTACGGACAACGGCACATCAGACTACACATTTTTGTTCGAAAATCGCCTCCATTGCAACGGAACAAGACACGTCAATGTGTAGCTTGATGTGCTGTGTGTACATACGTTTAGGTTTAATATAGGTTTAATGTCTCTTAATTCTACACATATGTATATACATAACACACACGCGCGCACACACACATATACACGGCCTCAATTTTAGGTTATGAGACAATGGAGAACCAACAAGTGCTGACATTAAAATAGATTATGACGGTCTCAATCGAAATTCACAAATTGTACGGTACAATCCTAATAATTCTTGAATTGCTGTAGATCAATTAGCTTGTAAATGTGCTTTCTTTTCCTAAATAAATGATTATTATTATTTGAGGCTGTATAGACGCTTAAGTACTGACACGCAAAATAGGCGCCTGGACGTCGAGTTGCGGACAACAGCCCGTTACACCATACCATACCAAGTAATCGGCACTGTCTTCGATGTATTGCTATGTATATTGTGTTTGCGTGACCAGGCGGAGGGCGGTTCTGCAGGGGCGGGGGCGGGCGCGAAGTCGGAGCACGACCACGTGCTGGAGCACTCGTTGCACCAGCTGCTGCGCGCGCTGCACCACGCCAACACGCACCACCCCTTCCCGCACCCCGCCACCGGCCCGCTCGGGCCTTCCAAACGCCGCTGTCTCGCCGGTAAGCCCTTAACCAGTATCATCACGTCGTAAACTAAACTTAAGTAACTAAAGTTGTCATTCTGAAAATAATTTTTTTTTCGTTTGACCTCCACCTTACTAGATGGAAAGTGACGATTAGGTCGACTATGTAGCATGGACATCTACATAATGCCTATTCACTCTCACCTTGAAAAGGTCCAAGTTATAGCGTTCGGGGAATTAGTCCGCATCCTATGATCCTGGGAATATCCACAACATAGTATATATTATACCGTAATATCCTGTAAAATACCGATAAGCAGGTAACTTTACAGCAGTGTTCAAGGCTCTGCAGCTTCGTCTCTACTAATTCCGAGTCACCTATTGCCTGTTGGCACGCTAGTCGATTGAATCCAAAGTGGCCAGTTGGTACAGAGCAGAGCCATCCCATAGGTGACAGATCAAACGTACGGAGGGATACCATCCCTACTTGTTCGATATTCAATAGGGAAGTATTGCCACCTTACCTATTTCTGCCGCCACGTAGTAATGTGAGCATTACTGTGAACATTCTGGTTTAAAAGGGTGCTGGTGAAATTAGGCACATGGGACTTGTACATTTTTGTCAGATGTTGACGGGCGCGGTGGCAGTGCCCCAAGAAATTTGCGATTTAAAACTCCGTGTGGCACTGCTACCGTTATGGAAAAGCGTGTCGCTTACCACCAGGTGCACAACCTGTTCACCCACATCACTTAATGTCATAAAAAAAATACAACTTGAGTATCTTTAACGTGTTTAAAAAATCCTGAAAAACAACAATGTAAATATCTATTTCTTAAGTTTTCTCGATAATTACAAAATGAAACATTTTTTTCAGATCTGTAAGACGCTGCGCAAACGCGTGTCTTGTGTTGGATACAAGCAACCGGCAACTAAAAGTGAATATTCTATTTTCATCTAATTGACATGAAATCAACACACTCTCCGCCAGTTGCGGCAGTTGGACACTGTTTTCTCTTCTAGTTGCCGGTTGCTTGTATCCAATTCAAAACACATGTTTACGCGGTACCTTCAGGGCTGGCTTGTTTTGCAACAGAAAGTTTCAGTTCCGTCTGTGTAAATGTACGTGGAAAAAAAAAAATTATTTGCGAATTTTTAAGTGTCCAAGGTTATATATATTTTAATGATAGGAAAACCGTGTTTAGAGTTACCCTGTATAACAACCGCCCATTCCCCAGGTCCAATGGCGGCAGACAGATACGAGCTCTTGGACATGAGCAAAGAACAATCTCTGCTGGAGCAGATCATCCAACAGGCGCAGCACTTCTTCATGCGACGACGAAGCGAGTATGTGCTCGACACCATTGCCAAAGAGGTAAAACTAACAACAAATTATCTATACAGGGTGTCTCACGGCTGTGGACACGGAGGGAAAATACTTTCAATATTGTATATGGGATAGTTTGTTCATGGAGACATTATTTTATTTTTAGAAGTAAGTGATACTGCTTTTAAAGACTTAAAAAGTTGCTTGTCTCATCTGGGAATCTAACCGACCAAATGTAAAAAAGACGTACCCATATATTTTTTTTATATAAGAGACGGGACGGACAAGTCGTGCGCCTGATGGTAATCTACACGCCTGTCCATAACAGTTACAGTGCCAATCACAGCTTTAAATAGCAAAAATTTGATTGGCACTGCCACTTTTGCGTCAGTCATCCTGAGACATAAGTTGACAAGTCCCATGTGCCTGTAATTTCACCAGCACGAAAAACGCAGTAACACTCACATTACTGATTGGCGGCAGAAATAGGTAAGGTGGCAGTAATTTCCCTGGACGAACTCTTTTACAAGGAGCTCGACTGCTATTAACTTTTATGACGCCGATCGAAAGGATCAATTACAAGGATTATCTATTAGTTTGAAGTAACATAGTGCCAATAATGCAGGGTACAGACGAGTTATACGATTTTAGGTCTTTTTTGTTAGCAAACTAGGTCCGTCTTTACTTTATTATCTAGATTTTAAAACTTGTAATTTCAACAGGTGAAAGACCCTCTGATAGTGTCGCATTGGAACGCGCTTAATAGTCCCACACAATCTTGTGTCAAGATCAACATTATGGCTTACGGGTAAGTTTGAAAACGAAATTTTATTATACGCGCTCTTTATAACAAAAACACGAAACTCGAAAAGCTACTTTTGGGAAATTCGATAAATAGATGTGATAAATACGTACGTACCTTGTACGCTGTTAGGCTTATTTTTTTTATTGATTGACCGACTTCAAAAAAGGAGGAGTTTCTCAATTTGGCTTTATTTATTTTTATGTATTAAGCGATAAGTCCGCAATTGTGAACGTATTTTTATGATTCTTTCTTTTTGTTGGAATGAGGATACCTCAGTATTGGTCCCATTTAAATTTGAAGAAAATATTCCACCTCTAGGGGTGGCAAACTAGGGGATGAATCAGATTTCCGGTAATCGATAGCAATAAAACTTGACAAATATATGTAATTCCACGAACTTTTGAGGTCGGTTTTTTAGAACTCTGTAGTAAGATTGTTTATATCGTCAGTCACCCATAAATGTTTACTTTCACCTTGACCCTTTATTATTGAGAGTTTTTTATGATTATTTAGTGACGGGACAAACAAATCGTGCGCTGGTCGTAAGCGTCACATCTACCAGACGATATAACAGACGAAGTGCCATTCAGCTGATTTTAATTCAAATGGAAATCGATCCATCGGGAAGCCCAACCGAGTCCCGAAATCAGATGGGTTTCCGAGCGCCAAGATGAACCTGATTCCTACTATATCTTTTTAATTTGTGACTTAAATCAACTATTGTTCCGATTTGAAATAGCCGAAGACGACGTTCCCGATCGGGAGAGGCAATCAAAATCAAGCTGCAGGGCTTTGAATCGCAAACATCCGAGAGGCACTGCCACTGCGCCCGCCGCTCTGAAACATAAAGTTGACAAGTCCTGTGTGCCTTAAATTTCACCAGCACCTCTACCCTATAAAACCGGAACGCAGTAATGCTCACGTTACGGCTTGGTGGCCGTAATAGGTATGGTGGCAGTACTTCTCTGGACGAACTCTTTCGCAAGGATCTCTGCTGCTACTGTGTAAGGGGCAAATTATATGTGTTTTTCTCTCGAGATAGCTTTCGTATGTATAAAGCTCTTCCATTTTTTCTTCTTCCGTTTTTGGTACATGTTTTTTCGCTACAACAGAGTCTCCATGGTAAAAATTGCTCGTATTGATAGGTGAAAATGCGTCCTAAAAATGTCACTAAACTTTCATAGTAGCCCTAATAAAAACCCTGGTTTTCGGATTATGTGTTTTATTGTATTATAACTTATTTATTATCACTTCTAAGGTGAACACACACAAAAATGTATGTCCATAGAAGAGTAAAACATTTATTGCAACGCCACAATACAAACAAATAAAAAGAGATCAATTAAATAAAAGATTATAAAGAAAAACTAACAACATAAAGGAATAAAACGGACAAAAAGCAATAAAGAAAATAATAACGAACATTACAATTCATACGCGGCTATGACTTACGCAAAAGGACCTCATTCATCTTCAGCCACTACCATAATTAGGTTGTGGTGCTGGTTTTCAATGCATCATAATCCATATTGGGTCGTTTATACTGCCCCCTTGTCACAACCAACGTAATCGACATTTTTAGCGACATAGAGTTAATAAACTGGAATCAGCGAAACCAGGTTTACAACCCTCTATAACCGGTTTATTTATATCTTATATAGTTTCAGTTTTATTGAAGTAAGAAGTCGAATATTATTTATTTGACAGTAATTGTTTCGGACGGAGATCGAGAGTAGACTCCCAGTTTAGGACCAAAATGAATCATTGTGAGACAGCGCTACGTGAAGTGTATATCACCATTCCGCTTTTTAGTCGTTACGAACCTATAGTGAACTGTAATAAGAGTTCATGGTAGGCCCCAGTGCCTCTACCACGACATTAATGTGTCAGTAACCGCGTAAATTGCTTCAGAATTTTATATGGCAAATTATACAACGCCCCTAGGGATTACAAGAAGAAACAACAAGAATACAAGATATATATTCGCTGAAAAATGTAGTTAACAATGCAGTCTTATAGTATATTATATTAGATCATACATTTCACCAAAAAAAGAAAATGTACACAATGCTTATTTCACTTTTGATGTAGCATGCATTAAACTTAAATTAATACAATAGCAACAAACAACAACTTGGAATTAAACCAGAAAATAGGAAGTCAAAAATATAACATACAATAGTTACATTTTACATTATATGTTATCTAGTAAAAAATCATAAATATTTATAGTAGCATTGAGTAACTAACAAATTATGCAATTTCATTTTAAATTGTCTACAACTTAATTCTTTAACAGCGTCCGATAGTTTATTAAATAATTTGAGTCAATATTTTGTATACAATTTCGCTAGCGATAACTGTCACTGTAATCTCATGGTAGAGGCGCTGAAGTCAATAGAACCTTTATGTCACATATTTTTTCAGATACGACGCGGTATGTCGAACTTCACTAGTCGTGCACGTGGGTGAGAAAACACTCAAGTGCATCTGTCGAGATGGGAAAGTGAGACACCTCTCTTATGAATTGCAAGAGCTTAGAGACCTCATATATTGCCAGGTAACTATGAAGCTAGGTTTAAGTAAAGTTAAACCAAGTAGGCCCTGTCTCTTATATTTTGTTAGCCCCTTGTTTGTAATAAAAGTATGATCTAGCCCTTGAACACCATTGGTTGATAAGAACAAGCAAACAGCAGGTGGCGCTTACCGAAAGCTCCGTTGCCTGCAAAGAACCTTTAAGGTGGTTATGCGTTGAATTTGCCGATAATAAATCGTTCTAAATAATCCATATTTTAATTTTTAATCTATAAATTGTTTTTAACGTTGAAAAACATTTTGAGATACACCTATTGTAGAAGAGCCACAAAATTCTTAAGAGACTTGATTGATAAATACGACGCATTAAATTTCAGCAAATTTTTAATATAAAAGAAAACTCTCTCATTCTCGTAAACGATGCCTTTTCATAGTGATCGTGCTTTAGCATGAACAAACCGCCAATGAGTGTGTCTTCACCCTTACCTATTTAGATAGTTTTCAGCATTTTTACTCTGCACTAATTTCATTCCTATATGAAATCTGAACAACTAATTCAGAGCGACGCTGACATCCGCCACCGTTTGCTCCTCATAGGCATATGCCGAAGGCGTGAGTGTTATTTTTGAAAAGCACTGTCAGTTATTATGTCATTGGCAGATTTACCAACACCAGATGACAGCGGTACAGGCAGTGGGCCGCTGCATGGGCTGGCAGTTGTTGGCCAGCAGTGCCCACCTCGGCTCTGGTCCTGTCGAGCCGCTGGGAAATGCTTCGTCGTGCCTGTTGGCTTCACCAAATGGTAAGCTGCTGGGTCTATAACTTTTAGTGCTGGCCTAAAGTCGTTGTTGCAATGAAGGTAAGGCCAGATTGCTTACAAAGTTGCTCAGGGTGGGGCGCCGTTGTAACGCACTGTGTGGTATGCGGTTTTAATTTATATGTAGTACAACGTAGCGTCATAACGCAACGCTGTGGCAACGCATCGCTTTGAGGCTGTGAATACATTTGTATCGCGCGAAGTCCCAGGTTCGATTCCCGGGCCGGGGAAAATATTTGTATGGTCTACATTTATTTCTCTCGGTGTAATTTGTGGTTGTCCATGTGTGTGTCCATAGCACCCGCGACACAGGTTTTCCCTAGTGTATGGCTATGAGTGTGTATGTTAAAAAATGTAATTAATCTAAGGTGTAATTCTTTAGGTTTAAGTTTGATTATATGAGTTAGATTTGAGTTAGATGACCCTCCCTACCGACCCTTAGGGTATACGGGAAAGGCACTATGGGTCGTATTCTAGAACTCTACTCAATGCTCAAGTCAGGATTTAAGTATGGTTTAAAGCACTCGAAATCATACTCGAGTCCCTGCCATTACGGTCGTATTTCCAGTGCAATCCTGACTTGAGCATTGAGTAGAGTTCTAGAATACGACTCTTAGACCTGTGCGCGCACAGGAACCTTACAAGTTCAGGTTCTGGCCCCAGATCAGCCAGTGTTCAGGGTTATCACAGACCTATGTCACTTGACTTCATCTGGTTCTCGAGACTAGTGCCTCGGGTGAGCCGCCCCGGGTGCACGTACAGTACTCTCCCTATTTTCCAGATAGGTACCAGAGCTGTAGGCACAAAGAACGTGCTGACAGATGTAGGTATCTGTTCCTTTTCTATACGGCAGCAGCTTTACTTGTGATACAGTAATGTCCATAAACAATGCACTGGTGGATCTGCCCCAAGTCAGGAGAAATACGTAATGGTGGCTGATGCTCTTTTCATATTACCATCATTATTCCCTTGGCAAATAGGAAGTCATTCATGGGTAATTTTTTTTAGGTTAGTTTTCTCCACTTATTTTCGGTGACAACTTTTATTGATGGAATATTGTAGAACATTATCATAAAGTATTATTTAATATTTGAATGTAGTAAGTATCCTGAACTATTAGTTAATATTTTACTTAAATACTTAATAAAAATTGCCACCAAAATTCAGTAGACAAAACTAAGATGAAATTTACCCATGTGTATCCCTCAAAATGTAACCCGTGTAACTAAGATGTGGTTGATGACTGTAGTTACAGCTCTTGTCATTAAGATAATGACCATGAGATCTAAATAGTTAATTGATTAATGCTTTCTTTTAAGAACTTGAGTCATTTGTTAAGTACCTACCTACCTCATTTGGTAAATAGTTTACAAGTTCTTGGAAAATTTAATAATGTGCCCATTGTTTTAAAAGAATGCAACAAAACATTTTCGGTCTGCCATAATATCTCCATTTGTTCCAGGTGATCGGATGATTGCAATAAGGTGTGAACCTTCTGTCGGTATTCAAGTCTTCATTGCTCAGTCTCCAAGAAAAGACTTGTTTTCGAGCGAGTTGGTTCAAGATAAGAAATGGGAGAATCTTGGAGGTGCTTTCAGGGAGATCAAACTCGAGAAAATGGAGGGAAAGAACTTCCTCAATAAGTTAGAATTACTCATGGCTTGCCTAAGCAGTCCATCATAATAAATTTTAAGTAATAATCTTATTTTTAAGTAATTAGTTCTCATTTTGTACTATTTATTAAAAATAAAATAATCAAATTCGAAGTATTTATAGTAGTTTTATTTATATGTAAGGGAACTTAGCTAAAGAACTTAGGTAGAATGTTAAATATTACTGAAGATTGTTCTCGAATATCTCCCGATGAATTAGCGAGTCGAGATCCGGAATGCAGAGGAACTGAAACAAAAACATTTTTATGACCACTGACAACACAATCATACATAATTGGTGGGAACCAGTTTATTAAGATAAATCATACATAACAATGTACAACATTGATGTTTTCTTAACATTCTATACAAGTGAGATTGAAAGAACACTGGTTGATGATTGAGATGATAAATGAGATTGATTTTCATTGAATCTTAACCCTATATATAACATATTTTATTTTAAAGAAAAACTTAAAATAATGTAACAAACATAACATACCTCTAATTCCTCAAGATGCAAGACCAATAGAACTCTTCCCAGCATTAAAACCCCCAGTATTACAAGAACATTGAATTTTTAACACTTGGAAGGCTTCAGATTACGTTAACACTAACCTAACTATACTCTAGAATTAAATTAAAAGCGAGCAATTGGCGACCTAGATCTGAAGTTGCCTCCCCCATTGCCCTGTCGGAATCCCTGGCTGCCGCGCTCGTATGGCCTGCCACCACCCCCATACGAGTTGAACGGCCTGTTGCCTCCGGGTGGGCCGTTGAAGGAGCGGGGGCCCCCTCTGGGCGGGCCACGGCCGCCAGGTCTGAAGTTGCCGCCGCCGCCGTTCCTACGGTTTCCGTCCCGCTTCCGCGACAACTCGACCTTCAGCGTCGCACCAAGCATCTCAAACCCATTCATCGCGCTGCAAGCATCTTCCGCCTCCTGCATGTTTTCAAATTCTATGAACGCAAAACCGGGAGGGTTTAGTGCGACCCACACAGAGTTCAGTTTCCCATATTTGTCAAACTCCCGCTCCAAATCTTCTTTCTTGATGCCTTCAACGAGACCGCCGACGTACACGCGAGTTCCTCCTGAGCTCATGTTTGTGAAATCTGAAACGAGGACACGACGCTACACAAAAACGCACACTTAAACAATTGTAAAACGAACATAATTACAAAATCGGCGAACATTATTGAAATTATAAGATGTTTGTCACGTTTTAGAAACACTTTTGGATCTATTGCGACGCACTCTTGTGATAAATAAATAAATACAATGAACAAAACAAAATGTCGTCCCTGCGATTATGCCACGCCAACAGATTAAAGAGGTATATCTGTGCTATCACTGTGAAATAATTGAAACTTACGTGTTTTATTTATGGATGAAGTTTTATAGAATAAACTACACTATATTTGATAATGAATTATACTAAAATAACTATTTTTTAATAAAAATAACGGTGAAGGTAATGTGGATCAATGAAATTCACCGAGAGAGTGAACGAGAATGAACAAGGGCGGACCATTGACAACTCAAGCCGGATGTTTGAGTGATTTGATTAATAGCAGTGTTACAATAACGAAAATATCACTTGTCCGAATAAATCGATTTAATATATCGATTTTCATGTCTTATATTTGAATAAATTCCAATTAATTAAACAAAATCGACAAAAAGAGAAACAAAAAACTTATCGTGGGCAGTTTCATATTTAGTTTTTCTTTTGTAGACGTATTAAATAATGCAATGTTATTGTTTTTTTCTGAATTTTTATTTATTATGTTGTAGATGTAGAGACGAAGTAGAGACAAAAGAATCGAATGAATGACATTGTGTGAGAATACAGATACATTGGCTTGTGTGTGTTAAGTATAAATGTGGGCGTGAGAGGCAGCATAGGAAGGGAGGAGGCTTTGACAAGTGAAGTGGGAGGGAGAGTGCGTGGAGGAAACTACGAACTACACATGAAACTGGCCAAACGACTTTGTTCAACGGTCGCACGGTGCGGAGCGCGTTTTCGCTTGTTTTCATTTATAGCCCCACCTTTGTTTCGTTATGAAATATTTTTATTTAAATTTCACAGTAAGAAATAAGGTAAATTTAAATTAACGAACTTTATAATTTAGTAATTGAGATGTTTTCTGTTATGACGGGTTGGAATACCTGTGTTTTGTTTGGATAGGTGTCGCAACGGGCAGGTGAAGAGCGTCTTGGAGTGAAATGAATATTTTTGTGTTCAGTTAGTGGGAATAGAGTGCGGCTAAAATATGGGGCTGCAGAAAAGACATAGTCAGTTTAGTGATACGAAATACAAGTGGAGGACCGTGGTGGTGTTGCTGTGTTTTTGTGTGGGGTGGTGTAGTGGACAGGAGTTGATAGACGTGGACCCTTACTTGCTGAACAAGAGTGTAGGGTTGACGGAGTTGGATGGGGGCGTTTTGGCTGGAGGTCAGACTGTGTGGAAATCTTCAGGGAGTCCTTACTTACTAAGGGATGATCTGCTGATAGAACGAGATGCGGAGCTGGTAGTGCAGCCAGGAGTGGTGGTGCGATTCGCTCCCATGATCGGCATCACCGTGCGAGGGAAGCTAATCGCCGTGGTGAGTGTGTGAAACATAATAATCTTAGGAAAAACCTGTTTTATTTTTTGTGTTAGGATTCTTTTAACGATATACTACTACCTTGTGTGTACCAAGTTTCGTATTGGCGTCGTCATCTTCTTCAAATACTTCGTTTATTTTTAATTAGTATCCAAGTTTTCGTTGGTGTACCTGTTTTGAAAACTAAACTTAAACTATGTATTAGACCTAATGGTAGAGTTAGGAAATTAGTGTACTCGTTAACTTAGGAACTTTCTAACACCATACTATTTGTTTCGTATTAGACTCCTGTAAGCATTCGACTATATACTAAAAAAATTTGACGCAAGTTCAAAAAAAAAAGACAAAAAAAGGAGTACTTAAGTTTATTTAGAAAGCAAAAATAGAGCATCAAATATTGATATTTCGTTCCTAGTCGCTACAAGCAACCACTCGATAATTCCGCAATCAGATGATAACGGCACGTTCGCTGTTGATATGCTATCACCACCATTCACCTTACTATTGATTCGTTCACCTGCAGAGGAGCGCAAATATTTGAGAATACAAGTCAACAACTGTGATCGCAAATATCGAATCACTACTTGATAATCGCGGATGTAAAAGCATTACATATTTGAACGTTATTATAGCTAATTAGTTCTTCATATGTTAGCAAATTTGAAGTACGTGTAGGTAATTCGTGTATACATTTCACAATTTTGTAATCGTAACCTGATACCGATACTTCAATGTGTTTATATATGACTGAATGCCATTGATATAACGTGGAGCCGTGTGTAAAAGAAAGCAATGATTAATCGTCATTTTCGCGAATTTATAGTTGAACTACCAATAAGAAATAGTCTCCTTAGAACAACTATTGTTCGTACGAAATATTACCTTTTCACGAAAACGAAAGAACGATTCCACCATTCAAAATTCTCGACTCCCCGTCGTCCCACTAATGGCCCAATGACGTATGAAACGTCCGTTGAATATTTTTTTCGTACGTCCGTCACGCGCGAACTGGTTTAAGAACCCTTATAGTTAAAAAAAAGTTGATCCAAAACATGAAACCTGTTTCTACACCTTGTAACCTAATCCTTAGTCGATTACATGTGATCTATTTTAAGATATCTGAATCAATAAATGTATCTAGAGCGCCTATTTTTTCATTGCAAAAAATTCACTGTAAAATTCACTCTTAAAATGGTCTGTTCAGCGAGAGAACGAAAAGACGGCCCCGTTAGAAACTATCAAATTGTGTTGTCATACGCCCTTGGTTGCAGCCGTTATCGGAACTCAAGTCTGTAGGTCATCCAAAAACGATCCTAACTCCGGATTTCAAGCTTCGAAAGTAAGACCCCTGTTCTTGACACAAAATGACGAAAGTCACCAAAAGTACAGAGAGCAGTGTCCGATTTTCATAACAACGCGTAGCTCATTCATTACCCTCATTAATTCAAAGCGGCCGTCATTTAGTGCAGTAATAAAGGCATTCATGCGTTCCTGAGTCATTTGCCGTCAATGGCACGTGTTAACGAAGGCAGCTGCCAGATCAAGGGCACCGACGTCCTACGTTAATTCAATCAAACTGGGCTGTGTTGGTGACCCCTCGTATGTGATCATTGCCAGGTGACAGCGACTTCCTCCGTTTCCTCGCACACATTCTCGCAATTCTACTAAGTCGATAACCTCTGAGAGGTCTAAGAACCTGTAATATTTATACATTTTGAACAAAAACACTAGGTCATCAAACCCTAAACATAGTCAATTATTGTTCTAGGCAAGATGAATGTTAATAGTATTTTTCTATTGTCTAGTCATTATGGTCTCGTCCTTAATTAAAGTCCGTTGCATTATTTTTTCCCTAAATGGATATCTAATTAAGTTATATGAGCCTGTGAATTTGTAATACTTCACACGGTCATGGCACAAAACCCTTCTAGAATAGTGAAATAAGATAATTTGTAAAAATTTGCCTCCTTAATGAAATAATTTTTCTTTTCATTCTTTCAATTCTATTTTAGTCTCAAAAAAAAAGTCAAGCCCCATTTTTGTTCGCGGACGATTTGAAAGAATGAAATGCGTCATTTTTGCGTAATTCACATTTCTTTACGTCATTGTGTTTTTACTTTAATGTCCAATTTCATTCCACATGAATTATAAAGTATGGAATGAATGTAAACTGCGTACCTATATCGTAGTAAAATCCCGATGGTTTCACGGTGAACGGTTCCACGTTAGATCATTGTGCGAGACGGACTTCGATATGTACCGTTAAAATATTACAATCAACACAGATTGTCTCTTTTTGTGATTTTTATTAAGTACTTAGTTGCTGTTAGCTTTGTAGAGTTGTTAACTTAGTAACTATACATGTTGGCTGTCAATTTAAGAAAATAATTGTAGTACCGGCACGCTATGATGGCCGTTTTGACGTTTGTCCGATCATCAAGTTTCGTATTAATTAAGTTGTCAATAGTGACGTGTGTAAAATTCATGGAATGTACAATTTTACGACACAACTTGGCATTTGGTTTTCGAAATTCGAAATTTAAAAAAATGAAATCTATTACGATCGTCACTTAAAAAATCGCTGTCCAGCACGAGTTCTACCTCCGGCAAATTCGCGTCAAAGCTTATTTAGTAAAGTATTAAGTAAACATTGTTATTTTCGTTTTATTAAAACTTTTTAATCAGCTATCCCTATCGATACTAGTTATAAATCTAAAAACTTATAGATGCTACTCGCATTTGATTATATTTTTCTCGATAATGAATTGAGGTTTGACCTCACTATTGTAATCTGTCAAAACGGCCATCACAACGTGCCGGTAGGTACTGTAAGTAATGAATAAATTATGAATAAATAATTCGAGACACAATTCCTTTCCAATTCCACAAAAGTGAAATATAATTAATAACATGAAACACTACAAAGGTTAATAGAAAACAAGGGTTGTGTTAAGTAATTTACATTACTTTAGATAATTCGTAATTACAGAGTTGCTTACTAGAGTCGTACATAGAATATCTAACGAGTGATACGTAATGCAAATGCAATGCAGTAAGTGAATGAGTCACGAAGTAGTTCTAGTTTTAATTCACAATATATTATGCAAAGTATAAGGAACAGAATTTTGATCTCTCAATAAGTTGCACGATTTTATAATTACGTAATTATAATTATGAATAGTTTTCATAATGACCGTTGCTCAAAATAAATTCGTGACGAATCGTCCTTATCCGTGATGCAAGCGGTAAACCGCAACTTTCGCTGTTCGAGTCTTTTTATTGGACAAAAAATCTGCTTTTTACAAAAACTGATGAAGACAAGAACGAAGCTCTACTTTCGATAAAAAAAAACTCGAGCAGACGAACTCGCAGAAAAATTGGCAGTACAAAAACTTGTAAAAGAGACGCAAGAATCTTAAAAGCGCTAGCTACGACAAATGAACGGTAGCCATTTTTCCACCTTATCACTATGAGCTATAAACCGAAAACGTGTGTTTAATTAGGACTGTTGCTATCAAAATTGTGTCAAGATCTGTAAACAGATAAGCGAACTTATTTGTACCCTTAACACGCAACAAAAATTGTCTACGTTCATCTTTTATGAAATTGTAACGAAAGTACTTCATCTAAGAGGTGAAATAAAACTATTAATATATACAGGGTGTCCCACGTCTATGGGACATGGAACGAAAGCAGTTCAAAATTTTTTTTGTTATATTTTATTATATTTTACTTCATTCCTATAATTTTAAAAATTTTATAAATTAGTTGCAAAAAAAACTGTGTTCCTTTAATTTAATACACTATGTTACTTATAAGGCATTTAGTCCATGTAATTGACCATTTCGATCGCTACCATAATTTTATTTTAATAAAATGAGGCAAGTCATTTTTAAAAATATTTTAATTGCAGTATTACTTATTTAAAAAAAAATAAAAGAATAACATCTCCATTAAGCAAAATCCTATAAACAATATTTGAAGCACTTTCCTTCCGTGTCGCAGAGCCGTGATTCTGCCGCCGACCATGGTACATGTAAAGGGCCCTAAACGTTGGTTTGTTTGAAAAAAAAAAAAACAACAAAACATTTTCATTTCTAATGTATAACAATGGCGAAAACCTCTCAACTCGTAAAATTATTGTTTGCATTTGCTACAATATTTAAAAAGAAATCACATAGAACAGAAATCACAAAGGTTAAGAATTGTTTCAAAATAATGTCCTACGATGATACAGAGAATTTATTAATTATCCCAAAATAAATGTTGTCTACTTTAAGCGTAATAGGCATATGATTTGCATTTCATTGTTTAATTATTATTATTGTTTTGTTTATATTTCAATATTTTTTTGTTTATAATTTAATCATCATATATTCACCTTTATAGTTAGTATTTTTTTGAAATACAGGATTCTCCTAGTTCAGGTATATGTGCTATATTTTACATTTATTCGCATAATTAGTCTTTAGTTATTCATTTGTACAATACGTTAACAATAAACAATTTTATTTTTATTTATTTTACATAACGACAAAGGCTTCAGTTGGCAAACCAATCAAAAATACATTAAGCGAATGTAATTCCGCTTGCAATTTCTATCCTAACCCTATAACCGTCATTCGTAAATTGAATTGAAGAATTGTGCAGTTACAATTGCGAATGAAAATGCAACTTCCATCAATATGTGAATGCCCTCTTATCTGCAAAGGTCTTGGTAATGTAGAGTTTAGCAGGTAACAGTTATTTGAGTACACTTAAGTGCCGGTCGACCGGCCCTCTGTTCTAGCGCCGGCAACCTTGGCGGCACTGAATCATCGCATCGGGATCCAGCGTTTAATGACATCGTAATTACCTACGGTATTTTCTGTTTGTTACAGCTGTGATTTACCGTTTTGTTACCCTAAATATTGCTAAGAGTCTATTATGGATAAAATAATTCTCGTAAGTACAGTAGTATGACGTAGTAGAGCTAGGCGATGTTTTCATCATTCGGCCAC